TTCTCTGTGAGCTAAACACTTTCAATACTGCCTCTTTTCAAAAGGCTTGGCCATCCCTGTCTGCAGCCATGTGAAGGGACTACCCTGTCTCTAGGTGCAACAGAGTATGAGTCTAGAGCCACTTACCATCATAAATCTTGAATATCTTAGAGTGCTTGGTATGTTTGYTGTGGCTGAGCACAATAATGGTTATCAGCATACCCAGCAGTATCTAAATGGTGCCTCCTTCTGGTTCAACAGACTTTGAAAGAATTTGTCCGGCTCGACATTGACATTTACATTGCTGGAGCACACGGTGAGTACTTCCCTTTGCATTGCCATCACCACAGATGCCTTGTCTCACTGCCTCTCCTGTTGACCACTGAGTATGGCTCTGGAGGATTACTCAGTTTTACCTTCCAATCTTGCACAGCAAACAGATCCAGTTGAGTGCAGGTGCTGYCCCTCTCATGCTGTCCCCAAAATGCAGGGACCATGTGTGGTAGCTCCTTTTACCTATGGCCACTGCTGCRCTGTACAGCTCTGGGCTGCAGGACCTGCAATTTGCACCCTGGGCTAGACATTAAATAAGGGGCTCAAATTTCCTCCAGAGCAGGAAACTACTAATAGGCATTTATGTTCCATCCTCTTGACATCTGTAAAGAGGAAGTCATCTGCTCTAATAAATAAAACAGTGCATTATACCAGTAGCTCCTGTGTTCACTCAGTGGACACGCTCAGGACACATGATTTCTTTCTTTTTGAGGTCTGCAGGTCACTTCATGCTTTTGTTTTGTTCCCTCACAGAGGGCCTCCTGGACAAACTGGAGAGAAGTGCATTTTTTGATGAGGAGATCAAGCCATCCATGTTCTTCCTCACCATTCATGATGCGGTTTTACATATTTTGCTGAAGAAGGACATAGCCAGCTCYCCCAAATTAAAGCTTGCTGAGGTAACACTAATCTTCATCTTTTCWTTACTTTAGTGCCTTTCCAGTACTGCCAGGCCCCCAGCAGCTRTAACTGTGTGTGCTATTTTCACTGTCACTATTTTCAAAAAGGCATTTAGTAAAACTCAGCTGGCTGCAATCAAAGGTAAGAGCAAGACTGGCCACTGAGTCAGGCGTGTGGAAAACCACTAGTGAAAGGAATGAATAATTTCCACTGGTGGATGGTCTGGCTGTGGACTTCACTTGAAGTCACATCCTTGGGAAGCACACAGCGTGGGTGAAATCCCTGCCTGTCCACCAGCAGTCCTCTGTGGTCACCCATACGGCACACACTGCTCCATTTGCTGCAGAGGCTTTTGAAAGGCAGATTTTATGCTTCTTGCGTGTAGCCTTTCCAGCCCTGCCTACCTTCAAAAGGAGTGCTAAAGCAGTGTGGATAAACTGCCAGATTTGGTGATGGCCTTTCTGGGAGTTTTCTTTTTCCAAGAGCAAGAGAGGATTCTGCATACATTAAATCTGGTACATTTGGATGTACCAGACCCAGAATGCTGCACACCTGGAAATGGCCTAATCCCACTTAGTCAAACTGGTCCAGATCTTCTGCACTGATCCAGAGATGGGTCAGTGGTGGGTGTCATAAAGGGCTGACAAGTGAGAGCTTCCTTCCTTCCATGTCAACTTCCCAGAGATGTTTCACAGATTTTAAAAGCAAAAGCTTCTTAAAATGAAAAATGAAAAAAAGAGAAGCAATCCATTTCCTAACCCATAATTTTTTGTGCATGTTGCAGGAGAAGGGTAGAAACGGTGACTGTGTCATCATCTCCAGGAACGGACTGCGCAGCCGGGACTGCACGGTAAGGCTCTGTSTGTGGCCCTCCAGCCATAGAAAATGCAGCTAAAAAAGCTGCTCGTGAGAACAGCCAGGTCAGATAACAAAAGCATCTTCATTCCTGAGCTCTTGTGTTAGCCCAAGCACAAAGTGTTCAGACAGCTTATTGATGGGATTTGACTTAAGGTAAAACCTTACGGGAGCAAGAGGGATAAGGCTCGGCTCACAAGCCTGGCCGTGTGCACTGAGTGGAGGGAAGGCAGGCAAAGACTGCTTCACCTGGCCTCCTCAGCTGTCCACCACAGMTCCTCCATGACAAAGTCACTGGTAGAATGCCCCTGGGGCAGAGAAATCAGTATTAGTCCAGTTTATCTAAATGTCTTGGGCATAAGGGGAGTCTGGAGACAAGGATAAAAAAGGGACATATGCAGCCTTTCAGAGATTTACATAGGAATTAAAATCAGAGATTTAGAGAGACAGATGGTATCCAGCACTGGGCAACCCTGTAAGGAGAAAATGCCAAACCCCAATCTTCCCATAAAAATATTTTAGAGGATCAAATACTTACACATCGTTCACCAGATGACCTACCCTGGCTATTCCTTACAGAATATGAAATTTATTCTCTTTATTCCCTACAGATTCAAACAGAAACAAAGTTTTAGACTTCCTAAGTATAATGTCCTCCAGCAACATAATGTCACAGAAGATGAATGTGGATGCTGTGATGAGCATGAAGACAAAAGGATACTTTTAAATACCTTAAGGGGGATTTACTACATAGGGTTATGTTCCAGGTTTTGGAATGGGCTTGTTAGTCCTTTTGTGTCTCTGTATATACAAATGTATTTATGTATATATATGGAGGCTAAAATCACACAGATTTTCTTATTTTGTACCAGTTTGTAGACAACCTGTACAGTTACTTGAGAATCTATAAATATTTGAAATCTTGTATTGTATGACACAGAGTAATACTTAGGACTGATAYTTTATCTTCAGCATGTATATAACTTGTATAAAGTTTTCTTGATGGTTTGTAAGATATTTAGTAGACTGAGTTATTAACTTGCTCTCAGCTTGCTGCCACAAGCATGAGMATGGTGTACATAGTGATTAATGTATCTAATTATGAAGATTGTTCAAGAAAGACACAGGATTTTCAGATCAAAACATGATTCATTGATTTGGACTGAGCTTGTGTGAAGTGCACAAGAGGGCATACATGTACAGTGAACCATTAGTTAATGTTTTCAGTGACTGTAATTGTCCCTGCACCACCAGGGTAGCTCATGGGCAATGAGACCCAGCCTTTGGACAGATGTGCTGGCCCCAGAACTCGGCTGGGGRAGCTGTGGGTGTGGAGCTGTCAGGTGGGCGGGCTGAATYGCCCAGACTGGGGGKAGACCTCACTGAACTTACAACTTCCTGAGGGAAGAAGAGGGGCAGACACTCATCTCTTCCTTGCGGTGCCCAGTCACAGGACTCAAGGGAATGGCCTGAAATKCTGCCAGAAGTTTAGGTTGGATACTAGAAAAAGATTTTTTTTCCCCCAGCGGGTGTTTGGGCACTGGAACAGCTCCCCAGGGAAGTGGTCACAGCGCCAGCCTGACAAAGCTCTGGAAGTRTTTGGACAATGCTCTTGGGCACATGGGCTGACTCTTGGGGATGGTGCTGTGCAGGCCAGGAGTYGGATTTCATGATCCTTGTGGGTCTCTTCCAACTTTTCCAATTCAGATTCTGTGATGTCAACRCTACTGTGCAATGCACAGGGGAGATTTCACTCTAAACATTCTGAACTTCAGGACTGAGCTCTCTAGTTCAAGAAAGATGAAGTCAAACAGCAGTTAATGAAGAAAATTGCTATGAGGATCTTTGTAAAATGAAGAGCCCTTATCTAAGGACTGGCAAACAGAGAAATAGATACAGGGATTTAGCCTATGAGAGAGGAAAAGTTATGCAAGATAAAAAAAAAAATGTTCTGTAAGGGGAAAAAAATGAACTTGAGCAAGATATTAGAAGAGGATTCCCCATTTTTACAACGGTAAGATCCTTTCCAGCTAGAACAARAGGAGAAAAAAAGTAAACTACTTTTAAAATGAAGTTTAAACATGTTTATGAAAATCATGACACTACATCATATTAGTGTAATCTGAGCTGTCTGACTCAGTTCTTTTCAGTCCTGTACTCACATGCACCTATACCAACTCAGCCAATAATAAAATAAAAGCAATATATGAAGTGCAGCACCTGGTGGAACACCTTCAAAAACTATATAGGAATTGCTGACAGGCTTCAGGTTAAGAAAAAATACTCTTTTCTAAATTGCACTTCTCAGAACAATTCATTCTAATACTAATGACTTTTCTGACGCAGCACAGTGCCACAGAGGATAAATCCCCCTTCCAAAACTATTCACCATTTCTTAAATGGACACGGTACATAGACAGCCTTGGCCAGAGAGCTTTGCACTCCCATGTCACATGTCYCTACTGCTTATTTGCCATGCTCTTAAATCACCCTACTCCTTATTTTTCAGTGTTGACACCAGCAATTATATTTCTGATGCTTTATGAGATTTCCCCTCCAGGTGCTGGTTATTTCTGCAACTCTGTTATTTCAATACTAACATTTTTCTGGGCAGTTTACCCCAATGCAGATCATAGAACAGACCTGATGTTGCAGGATACYGTGGTGATGCAGATTTACTGCTTTATTTCTGAGACAGGGACYGTCAGAAACCAGGCTATTTAGGTTTCTAAACATCCTGCATTGGGTGCTGTTGCTACTCAGTTAGAGCACTACCATATACTGCTTTTTCAGTATTTTACTCAAGAATTAACCAAAAAAGCACATTCCATACCTGCRTTCTTTTTGGAGAGCTGACAGGGATTGTGTTAATTCATCATCACATATCCTGAGCCTCTCTTTCCTTTAGCACAGTGCAGATGCATTGTAACTAAATAGCAGGCATTTTACAGCCAGCAAGTGGAATGGAAAACAGGGAAGCCAGAGAGCCAGCGATGCTCAAGCCCACTCYCAAGCCTGGTTATCACTTTGTGGCRCAGAAGAGATTGCCTGTGTGAAATATGAAAACAAAAAATTAAGTGTTTATTCAAGACCTTAGGTTTAATGGAGAGAGGATATTATAACATGTAAACTTGCATTTTTTTCAATTTCAAACGAAGTTCCTGTTAAGGAAGAAGTATCCTTAAGCACTTTACTGAAATGTTACTCACAGTTCTCTATTCCTCATCCCTGTGCTGAATGTGGAGAAYTTGTTTTCCCACTTTTCATGCACCTGCTCCCTTCTGCTTCCTAGGAAGATGCCTGAAAGTTTACCTGAGCCAGAAATGGCAAAGAACAAATTGAGGAACAAACATCAGCATTTAYGTGATTTTATTTAGTGGAAGAAGTAATTCACCATAAATAGGTCTTGGAGCTGTGTTCAAGCATTGGTTTTCACAAATAAAACTAAAAAAAAGTCGTATTGAATGACACATATTTACATCTACTTATTCATTTGGGATTTTTTAAAAGCAGTTACACTGAAGTTCTTTTTTGAAACTAGATAAAAATGGAAACATTCTTGCCCATGTGCAGACAATAACACTCTTCCCATTACCAGAAGTGTACTACAATGAGTCCTACTGGCACTTGAGAATCACTTGAATTGTATTATCAAAATTACTCACTGAAGTTTCATAATGACAGCTAATTTACCAGCTTCCTGCTGCTATTCCACCCACAGGTTTCTGGACATATGCTGCCTTTTTGAATCTTTTAATCTCTTGCACTCATGAAGAGTCTACACTGAAAATAAATTTAAAAAAAAAGAACACCAGCAAATTAATGCCGCATACTTAAGAGAATAAGGAAATCCCATTCAAAGTAGGAAAACCTTCTAAAGTTGGTATTTTGTGACTAAGTCAAGGCTAAAAGGAGATTTAAACTTCATTATTTTCACTCACGTTGCCCAAACAAACTGGTGTGAGTGTAAAATATCTGACTACAGTGCAAAAGCTCAGCATTTTCAAGGCACAATAACTATATAAAGATAATTTATAAATTGCTAAGAATTGTTTTTAACACCAAAATAAATACAAAGGGAAATACAACTTGTATAACACTGATATTTACTTTAGAAAYGTAAACAGGGTGAAAATTAATTCAAACCTTGCACATTTCTCTGCTGCACTGAACTCTGTCATATATACGAAAACTTGTACCCCATACATTGAATATTCCGTTGCAGCTCCAATCCACTGTGCTCCTCCAGTTTCCCAGGCTTGACAGGACCTTCTGCTGTGAACCTGTGCCTGCTTTTGTCAACAGCCCAGCAATGCACACAGAGAGAAACAACTCAAAATCAGACACGAATTTACACAGCAAAAAACAGTTTGAGAAAGGTGTGTTCAGACTTGATCTACAGGGAAAGCATATCCACAAAGGTGTTTTTGAGAGCACCTGACTTCCATCTAAAGGGAAGATAGCTTTTCTCTCTTGCTGTAAGTGCAAATTTTACAGTGGAGTTAGTTAATTGGGGAGTTACTTCCACTTCAGTTTTTAACAGATTTTGACAGTCTTTGACAGCAGGAAGTGAAAAGACATGGAAAATCCATCCCGTAAGGTATTAYAATTTTCTTGGACCAGATTTAAAAAAATAATCTGCATTTTAAGTTATTCTTTTTTAAAAGGCATGAAAAATATCATTTATCACACAGAGGTAACCTGTATTTATGTTAACAGTATTAAAAAATGCCCACCACAAACAGAAAATATAGTTCATAGGACACATTTGGTCCCCTGGTTGTAAAGTACGTAGGACTGCAGGCAACCCTTCAAGCCAAGTTAGAGATGGAATCATGGAAAAGTGTAAGGAGATAAGATTCTAAAGCACAGAGGTTTTCAGACCACCTGACGGTGTTYTTTCATCCATTCCATGGTGAACACAAACCGTCATCATACTCTTTTTCATTCCTTATGTGACACTGTTAGAGGAACCTACAATAGTTGACAAATTTAAATGTCAGAGTTCTCTTCAAAACCTGAGATCTGCTTGGCAATGCCTCGGGAAGATCACTGCCACAGACATGGATATTTATTGAAAATAAACTTTATCAATTCAARTGTTTGTCTTTACAGTCAAGACTTCAGAAGAAATCCAAAGAAATCACAAGTACATCTTACCATTTCTAACTATCAATTACACAATTAAATACAATACATTAATTTTGTAACCTCTCAATAAAAGACCATGTATTTTAAAAAAAAGACAACCCAATCAACAAACTAAGGGAAAAAAATACCCTAAACCACACTCCAAAYCCATTAACAAATTTAAAAGACAGTTAACACAGGGTTTCAACCAATGGAAGCATTTTTAAACTTTGTAAATATGAAAATATCAACAGTGCCCTTCGTCATGTAGGTGCCCTTAATCACATATATTATATCCCCGATTTAATAATTAAAAAAATACATTTAGGTCTTCCTCTTACAAGACGACACAGAAATTGGAGCCAAGTCCTGCCTAGGATTAATTTTGAAGTTCTCTATCACAGACTTTGGGTCCACAGTCRCTGAACAACTCAAGGGATTCACTGATTTTCTGGGTAATACATCATTGTCCATATGACATACGGTCACCTTTCTCTCAAATATAGAGAAAAAAGATTCTCACACATTGCCTACAGTGACAATGATAGAGATACATTCACCTTTTGTGYTTCTTGATCGAGCAAAAACTCTTACTTTCCCTTAATCAATTCACCTGCCTCAGCATTTTCAGAAAAACTTTATCAGTAAATTCAAGAATAGCTTTGGACACAGAAATATTTTGAACTCTTCATCTGGGTCAAGGGACGGGAGAATAGATAACGAAAGTACACAACCTGACTTACTTCAACAACCCAGCGTGACAGAAGGAGTTGCCTTATTTCCTCATTATGTGACTGTAGCAGCTCATTCCAGAATGTCCAATTCTCCTGAAGAGAGCACTGGTGAGGTGAGGTGGATGCCCGGGCCTCCTGCAGGAAGCTGTGTGTGTCCGAGTACAGTGAGCTGTACCTGGAGCCCTCAGAGTCCCTGTGACACAGGTGTGTCGGGCCTGAGCTTGGCTTGGTRGAGTCAAAGAACATGAATGAGACATGCAGATTTCCTCCCAGATGAAGCCGTGCGCTGGAACACAAATGTGTCTCCTCCCAGTCTACTTCACAGTGACAGAAGGGGTCCTTARAAGTTCCTCATGTTTGTTAGTTACTGAAAGAAAAGAACACTGGCAGAGCCATTTTTGCCTTCATGTATAGAAACAGTAAATTTTCAAGCACACATTTCATAGCACACTATCACAATCAGCTTCATTTTCTTCACCACTGTATTTTATTTTAAATTACTTAGTTTTCAGAGCAACCAAACTAAATAACTCTCTCTTAGAAAGAAGTATGTTACAGCTAAGCAGATTTTGAAGCATTTGACACTCACTGGTCATTTGTATCACATGTCTAAAGAAGTATTTATTTGAAAGGCAGACTAAAAATTTGGCTATGGTCACAAGGAAATCAATGGCAGCCAAGAATAGAGAAAATCTAAAGAACCAATTTAAAAATACAAAGTTTAGACATAAAAATACAAAATTTGGAATGTCGCACTGCCACAGCTTTTCATAAATTTAACATTAATGATTCAGGAAAAGAACGTTTACAAAAATAAAAAGTAACGCTGGGGCTTTAAGATGGCTCAGATTATTTGAGAACAGTAAGAAACTACAAACTTTAGAAAAAACCCAAAGAACTCCATTTAAAAGCACCAATGCCAGAAATGTGGCATTTGGRAAAAACAATGGTTCAGTGCAAATACTGATCAGAAATGCAAAGATAAGTGCTCCAATCAACAGACAGTACTGTCTTGTGTCTGCTTCTGCTACCAGCTGCACTAAAAAAGAACTTTYTCATTTTACATTTATCTTTGAAAGTATTCTTATAAAACATAAATTTTAGACCAAAACAGACCCAAAAGCTGCTTATATTGCTACTTTTTGAGAAAAGCAGAACAACTAACTACTGTCTGTTCAGTTAAACCTGTATCACAAATCAAAACACATAAATAATGTGTACCTTTTTATTTCTTTTAACTACACACCACTTCTTTCATATTATCCAAACRGGAAGTTTTCCTACTGTACACATTATATAAAGTGAGAGGCAAACATAACTTCCCTACCWAAAAGAAGCTGCTTTTCACAGACATGCCAAGCCAGTTCACAGCCACTTCCAAACAAACACAGTCATAGGTAAACACAGTAGTTTGAATTCAACTCCAGTGAGTAGCTTACATGTAAACAGAACCTTCTAAATAAAAACTAGCTTTAAAACAAACTTTAAAAAAAAAAACAAAAACATAAAACCCACAAGGTTTCATGTCATGCCCAAAGCTGTATCTTTGATAGATTCATCTTGTTGCATGAATTAAAAAACAGAAAAAATGGAATGTAGTAAGTGCAGAATTCTGCACGTCTGATTTCTAGTGGCAAGAATTCATTACAGCCTGAAATCACTATGAGTAATGGTAAATGGCAGTAAGAGAAATATTAAGGTTCCTTTTATATTTCACTACAGTGCTATTTGGAAACTATTAGTGTTGAAATGGTGTCCCAAAACTAAGTGTGTGTTAACTTCATATAAAAACTCACCACATTTACAACCATATTCAATTTAATTATTGTACACAGGTTAACAAAAACACTGTATTTAACAAAAACAATATTCAGAATGGTACAACACATGTCCATTTTCTCCAGGAAATAATATTACAAGTGATCATCTTAGGACTATTTAGCCACACTAGCAACAGAAGTTCTGTTAAAATGCAACTGTGGTCTACTAAGCCACTTATTTTAGCACTACAGAGTATTTGAAGTTAAGAGTCCTACGGCCAAGGCTTAAAAATCATTTAAGATTCAAACCTCAAAATGTCTTAACAGTCAAAATGACAGTATTTTTAAAAAACCACAACAAAATAATCCCAAAACAATTAATTAAAAGGCTGTTGTATTTAGTTTTATCTTCTTCATGGCATTCTCTATTCATAGAGTTGCTTCTATCATTGGTAATAGGGTCTGTATCTGGCTTGATCAGGGTGATGTGGTCCAGGAAGGGGGGCCTGAGCAGGAGGCCCCTGCATCCTTGGAGGYGGAGGCGGTCCCCTTGGAGCTGGCCATATCCCTGGACTCATTCCCCCAGGCTGTGTGAAAGGGGGACTAAGAGTTCCTTGATCTTCACTGAACTGTGGCAAAGAGTTGGGATTATAGTGATGTGGAGGGGGCGCATTTACATTTACAGGTGGGCCTCCGTGCTGAGGAGGGGGAGGTCCTGGAGGAGGATGGTTCATGTAGGGTGGCATCTGGGCAATGATGTGTCCGGGTGGYGGGGTTATGGGCGGAGGGGCAGAGGTCATGGGAGGCGGAGGAGCCTGGCTGTACACCATGTGAGGGGTGCCYGCCGCCTGCGGAGGGTGCTGCAGCGGGTGGCTGATGGGCGGAGGCGGCGGCGGGGGCGGTGCATAGTGCTGCTGGGGAGGCATAATATGATGAGGGTGTGATACCACTGGCTGCCCCTGGTATTCAGGATGATGGTGAGCAGGTGCAGGCGCTGGTGGAGGTGGTTCTCGAGCGCCTGAATTCGAGTCATCCTGAATGGGGACAGTTATCAAGTTGCTGTGTTTTCTCGTTGAGATGCGGAAGGTGTCCTGACTGACCGGGCGGGGTGGCGGTGGAGCCATGGACATCTCTGCAGGAGGAGCTCGGATGTCCTCGTGGGGCTGGTTATAGTGCTCATGGGGCACATGCTGCAAAGGAGGCGGTGGCATCATGATGTGCTGCTTTGGCGGAATGTGGCTCATGTGATGTTTCTCAGGGGGCATTATGAAACGCTCGGGAATTTCGGCTGGCGGCGGGGCAATAGGAGGATGTACAGGTTCAATGGGAGGACGAGTAACAGGCTTCCCAGCTCTCATGTGACGGTGGTTGATGTGAGCTTGTAAGTCCCTCTGTGACAGGTAAGTTCTCTTGCATCCTTGAACAATGCTACACATGAAGAGAGACCCTCGTACACACTGCTCAATTCGCTGCACAGGTTCATTACAGCTAAATCAAAACAGAATATTGATTTAATGTTATCACAGAGAGCTCAGCACGATCTTTTTCTTGGTAACATAATTAGCCAAATTAGAACTGACAATTTTGCCCYATGGTAGCAATGAAAGAAATTTTTCACCGATTTTGAAGTCTACCTAGTTTTTAAATCTCCAAATGTAACTATGACAGAACATAAAAATCTCATGAGGTAAAATTTTCTAAGCAGCACCTCTCTGTCACACATTATTTCTTCTCTGCATTAAGACTTAAAATGGGTCACTCTCACTAAGTTAAATTGCTGTTTACTCCTTTTCGTATTACAGCAATAACAGGTTATCTACCCAAAAACAACAAAGTAAACACTGATCCCTTACAGTACAAAGATATGGAAAAAGAATTAGAAAGTACAGTGTACTCTGCTTCCTCTGCTAAATGTACATAAGTAAGAGCCATGYTAATACAGTATCTGAAATAAAATATTTAAGTTACTTCGTCACATTTCCCTTAATAACAAATCTTGAGACAACTTACCCTGGACACATCTTGTCTCCCTTTTTCTCATGTAGTATAGCACAGTCATAGCAGAAAACATGCTTACAAGGTATCTAGAAATAAAAAATTGCTGTTAAGATATCATGTATAAATATCTATGTCATTCTGCAGAATACAGTTCCTCCCTTCAGTGCACARTTTATAATAATTAAAGTAACTAAGTTACCAATGAGGTGAACAAGCATAGCAATGGTTAACAAYTTACAGCATCTTTGCACAGAAGCTTTCTAGAACAGTTAATGTTGAGTGTGGGTTTTTTTTTGGGGGGGTAATGCTGTTTGGAGGTTTTTAAGTGTTGGTAAAAAACAYTGGCAGAAGTTTGAGTCTTGCATTAATACCAACACTGAACATTCACAGAAGCTGCATATACAATCTGATTACACTTGTCTTGCTGGCAAGGAAGGAAAGTTTTAAAAGCATTAACTGTCATTAAGTCAGATGATGAAGCCTGTTACATCACACTTAGAAATCTAMATTAATCTCAGGGATTTTTGAAGGGACATAAAATTCAACAGTGTTTTCTAACTTCACTGCAAATCCTYGATTGAGTTAAAAAGCTTATTTTCAAACCCCAGTGGTATAAGGTCAAAACTCCAGAACTTGAATGTTTTTCTCTTCATGATGTTGTTCAGGACTCACTTTATTAAATCAGGGGCTAAAGCAAAATCAGTCAGACAGATGGAACAAAAACACTTGGGCAGTGAAAACCCCAAGATCCATCATGGTACTATTCTGTTTATTCAAATGCCTGTTGAAATCARTAATCTGTAGAAGCCTCATACTGACACAGTAAAACCTAATTTTACCTAAAGGAAAAACATGGCTGCATCCTCAACTGCTAATTCCACTCACCATGCGTCCATACATTTTGATAGGCAATCCACACTTATCACAGAAATGGACCGGTGTATCATCCTTTTCCCCCAGCAAGTTTATCTGGTAGAACAGAGATGGAGGTGAGAAAACAAACCCCAACATCACTAAAGTTTCTAATTTCAATTACCATCAACTTACATATTATTTCTGAATTAGTTGAAAAGGAAGCAAGAACACCACAAACAGGAAAAGTAGAGGATGTATTTGTAGCCACACAAAAATAACTGAGAAACTTTTAATTAACAAAGTATTGGTAGACACTGCCTACAGCCTGGTATGATACACCGGCAAAGATTAATGACTTTACCTTATAGTCCCAAAAGATGGGTCCAGGAAATCTCCTCTGATTGCCAAACATTTCACCTCCTTTACATTCGTATCGCTCCTCTTTGTTATAATCAAATTCTTCTGTGGAAAAGAGAAAGAGAAGAAAGACACGAGCCAACCACAACACTTTCACAATTGACACYAGCTGCTGTTAAGATCATGGGTCATTTTTACTGAAATCATCAAATAATGCCATAGCACTTCCAATCTGCTGAGCTGATTCTACAGTAAGGTAGAAGCAAAATGGTAAAACACCCTATTTTGGAAATGGGCACTAMTGAAGCCCTACAGTGCATGAGTACTCGGAAAATTGAATCTTATTTTGCATTTGGACAGAACCCTAGACTCTTGAGTTTCTTAAGACTGAATAAAGTCTCAAAAAATTCTGTAGARTTATACACTTAACCACTACAGGGAATTTATATTAATTTACCTTCATCACCAGCTTGTGTCTTCGAAGGCATCCTGTTCATATTTCTTGGAGTCCGAGGTGCAGGTTTGGTTTTATTGGTCTGTTTTGAAATAAGCTTTATAGGGATTCTTCTACGGACATCAAGACCACCCAATGATCCTGAACTATTTGTTCCTTGCAAATCATTGTCTATGAAAGAAAATTTTAAAAATTATCTATTTTTTCATTTATCTARTAGTCCTTAAAGAGGTCTAAATAGTAACAGGAAAGTTTTAAGAAAAATAATTTTTAAAGCTTCCTTAAAGACTCATATATCATATCAAAATTTCATCACTAGAAAATAGGTATCTTCACATACAATTTCTTCCACAAAACTGTAYTGGGAACAGCCATGATTTTAGGAAACCTAGTTTAAAAATAAAATTATTCAAATAAGTTCTCTAGTCACTTATTTCTCCACTACAGAAACATTAATTGTATAGCTCTTCTCACAGTGTGAAGAGCATTGAAGAGTTAATTCTTTGTACAATTGCATAGAATTGACTTATGTGAAAAGACGATTTTTTACAATTTATGTATATTGTTTATTCAAGTAGGAAAAAAAACTAGTTAATATATAAACTCAACATCTTGACTTACTACTTAAAATTTTAAGACAAAGCATCACAAAAATATTGGTACTTAGGAAGATATAACTGTATCCTTCTTAAACTGAAAATTATTGTTCCCAGCTACAGACAGAATTCTCCTTAACCAGATTTAAATCTAAGTACCACTTTGAAAGAAGCAAGAAATAGCCTGACACACACATCAGCAGGTACAGGCTCCAAGAGAGAACCCAGAGCAGGTAYTGCAACAAGCATCACCAATAAGGAGGTGTCAGTCCCTCAGCCTACAGCAAGTTTATCTGAAACTATCACACAGCATCTCATTTGTACAAAAATYAAGTTATGTCCTTCACAAATCTTCCCAGTTCACTTGGATCTTAACGGAAAATGCCATTCTGACAGGTGTTYGTTTCAAAGCAGGCAGGTGCATCCTGGAAGGGGTTAGACCCGAGCTGTTACAGCCCTGCCATTCTGCAGGGAATGGAATGGAATGACTGCTGAGGCCCCAAAGGATTGGGGCACAGGAGCACCTGGACACTGAAATTAGGGCCCATTACTGTAATTCTGCACAACATGTCACCACCTCAAAGCCTATAACCACCACACACAGCACAACAAGGAGAAGCAAAAACAAAGAAAAAASGGAATGCTCTCAGTTATTCAGCAGCTACCACCAAAGCTACGAAATGCCTCAGTTTCAAATGGGACTGTGCCCTGACAGTCCTGTACCTCCAAACCGAAAGCCCTCAATTTCCTCAGGATAGATCAAACTCCTCTTAGCACTGTGGCTCACAGTTCCACTCTAAAAGACAATATGCAAAAAGGCAAAAGCAATAAAGYTTGTTTTTACTTCTGGTCATTTGTTATTCCTTTTGACTGTCCAGATGAACCTGCAAACACTCAACTATGTCACCACACTTCCCCAGAAAGTGCYGGACCAAGACATCAGAGGTAAAGCTGTCTATTTTCCATTTGTTAGCAAATTCTGTTTTCTACCAGAACACACAAAACCCCAGCACCCTAAACCAGAAAGTCTCTGGAGCAACTCAGTCCATTTACAAATAGGGATAACAAAAACAAATTTTAAAAATCAAAAACTTGTTTCATTTAGTCCACTGAAACGCCAACAGGTTCTGTCACTTTTCTCTTTATACCCYTGCAAGCCAGGAATATCTACATGAGTTAGCAGATCAACAAACCCAAACTAGCAAGTTTACTGGTCACTCATGTTTCATAGAAGGGTAATAAATTCCAGTCTGCATGAGGATAACTTGCATGAGGATTAAGTTCACAAGAAACTATAGCAAACATACCAAACTTGTTAAGACTACTTAGAGAAGCTCTAATTAGAGATGATGCAACATACTGAAATGCCACCTTCATCAACTTAATTTTTGCATTTCAAGCTTTATTAAAATTCAAAAATATAGCTCAAATACTTTACACCGATAGAGTCACAACGCAGTCTTTTCTACGGGAAAGGAAAAAAAAAAACCTCTCCAAAACCACCCCAGCAAAAAGTCCATGTCCATTCGTTTATTTACTGCACTACACCAGCGCATTAGCTACCAAAGGATCACAGCTACGCCAGCGCGCTCACCGGCAAAGGACCACGTTTAAACCACGAAACCAAATTTAAGCACACGAGGAGGTTTCCTCTCGGATCACAACTACGGAACCAGGAAAACACATTACGGGCACCGAGGCCGGGAAAGGCCGCGGGCAAAGGAGCGTCTCCCCGCCACCTCCGGGACGCCACAGGCTGTATCCGGCGCTGGCGGGCCCGAGCACCCCGGCCCGGTCAGCGCAGTCAGCGGCCGCCGTTCCGCCTGGGMCGGGGCGTCCCGCCGGCAGCGGCCCCTCAGCCCGGCCGAGCGCCCTCGGGGCGGGGGCAGAGCCGGGCGCCGCCGAGCCGAGAACAGCACCAGGGCCGCCGCGCCTGCCCAGGGAGCGAGCAGGCCCCGCGGTGCTCCCGAG